CCCCAAAACCCCAAAACCCCAAAACCCCAAGGTCCCACTATAATTTAATGCTGTGTTAAAAAATAAAATTAATAATAATCCAATAATGCCCCGAAGACTTCCAATAAGACCTGCAAAAATAATCGGCAACATTTTTGTTTGTATTGTGCTTGCATACATAAGTACTGTATATTACTATTTTGTATTTGAATTATGGGGGCCAAAACTTTCAAGTAATTTCCTTAAATAACGATTATTAGCATCCTTAATTGCCCAGGTAGTAGTAGTTATCTTTAATTTTTTGGTTTTCATGCTTCTGTGGAGCTTTTTTCAAGCAATGTTAACAGATCCTGGCTAAGTTCCTGTTTTTTGGGTATTAAATTTTTGGGGTTACTCTTAATTAGGGATTTCATTAAGGTGATTCTGATTTAAAAAGGAAGAGATATTGTTTGATGTGCAATGTATTCAAGCCTGAAAGATGTCATCATTGCTCATCCTGTGCCAGATGTGTGCTTAACATGGATCATCACTGCCCTTGGATAAATAACTGTATTGGATTTTGGAATAGAAAGCATTTCCTATTACTGCTTGTTTATGTACTTTTAACATCCTACTTTACAGCAATTGCTCTTCCTATTCCAATATATGATTACTTGAACTCAGTAAAAGCATATATTTTACATTTAGAATTATAGTAGATTTATGGACGGAGGATGGAAGTGGAATGAAGTTATCAACCTGCTTACCTTATTAGTCTTAATCACTCTTGATTGCTGTGTAGCTGTTCTTATCACTATTTTCTTGAAGTTTCATATCAAATTGTTGAGTGAGAATAAAACTACCCTTGAAAACTTGGAAGCGAAAGGAACCCCTTTTGTTAGTAGATTTGATAAAGGTTTCTATCGCAATATCGAATAAGTATTTGGAAATAATAGATTCCTGTGGCCTTTTCCACTATATTTGGAAAGTGGTAAACCTATTGGTGATGGAGTTTACTGGGAAATAGAAAAATTGATAAATGAATAGCAACCTAAGTCAGATAAGTTTGTTCATGATAAAAGTGATAATGATGGAGACGAAACTGATGGATCAAGTTAAAAAGGCTAAACCTTCAACGGAAATTAAAACACCTTGCAAATAAAATATCCTCAGTAGCAAATGAACAAGTCAGATAGTTAGAATTCTATGAAAAATTAAACAAGTAATTAATTTTGATTGACAATTTTTAGATCTAGGAGCAAAGTTCGAAGGCTAAATTCAAGCTAATAATTCTCAACCAGTTATTATAATGAAAGATCCCTCAAATATTTTAGAAATTCATAATCCACCTTAAAATGTAACTTCTCAATTAAAAGCTGTAATCTCAGTATCAAATCAAAGACTTCAGAGAAAGTAACATACGTCTGGAAATCATATAATGCAGAAAAAGTGAGTTTATTTATTGCATCTCTTTATATAATCAGATTTTTTCTAGTGGGGTTTTGGGGTTTTGGGGTTTTGGGG